CAAAACCCAATAGTCCAGGGGGTGCAGCTCTGCTCCAGCCTTTGCAGAGGCGTCTCCTTGCTCCCCCTTGTCTCCCATATGGAAGAATTGGCCCGCGGTGCGCTCCTTCTTCTTCTCCGCACCGCCGTTGCCCTTTGGGTTGTTGTCGGACGAATCAGCGATCATGTTGGCACCGTTTTTCTGGTTCCTCCGCGCGCCGCCATCCTGGTGACGATTCTGGGGGGTCCATCCATCGGGTTTCTTATAGCACAAAAACCAGGGGTGCCCTTCCTTCTCACAATACCAGCAACTCCCTTTCATTTTGCCACCAGCACCCGACTTGCCCCCACGTCCAGATTTCGCACCGCGACCCCAACCGGTACCTCCTTGTTGGTCGTTGGAGTCGTCGTCTTTCTTTGCACCGCGTCCAGCACCACAGAAGCCACGTCCTCTGCCACGTCGGCTCCCTTGCATCCCGTAGCCGCTGCTGCCGTCGTCTCCACCCCTCAGTTGACGGCGACGGAAGTCCTCCTCTAGAATCTTTGTCCGCACCCACTCGAGTGTCCACGAGCTCTGGTTCTGCGGCAGGCTCAATCCGCTCGTGAATTGAAGCCACGATTCCGGCAGCAGCGAGAGCATCTTCAGGCACTTGGTCTGCTCTGGGTAGGTGATTCCCGCGATCGCCAACTTCGCGTAGAGGTCGCGCAATTTGTCCAGGACAGGTTGCACTGGCTCTCCCTCGCTCAGGCGCAACGCGGACAGCTCCCTCTCCAGCATCAATGTTGCAACAACGGAGGTCGGGGCGTGCAGCTCCTTCAACACCGTCCACGCCTTCGGACCGCACTCAACCTCCGGCAGCAGGTGCATGACGTGGTGACGCTGGTTCAGCTCCAAACTCTGCGACATCAAGTAGTAGCCAGCCGAGGCGCGCTCGTCCCAATCTTCCTGAAGGGCGGGGTCACTCGGTCTAGGCTCCTCCCCAATCATTAGTTTCAGCAATCCGATTTGACGGAAATAAAGTTGCATTTTCCAGGCCCAATCATCATAGCCCTCACCATTGAACTTCTCGACGGTGAAGTTTTTCAGCACCTCCTTGATCAGCGAGCCCTGGCTTGTTCGCGCTCCCCTTGGCGCAGAAACACCAGAATCATGGCTGCCGCTACGATCTTGGGCTGAAGATTCACCAGCTACCGCCGAGGTGTTGCCCGCCATAGCTACCTATATCGAGGATCACTATAACGCAGCTCTGATACCAGCTTGTTGGTGTAAGGGCCTAATAAACTCAAGCTATTAAGACTTTATCACACTTAAAACCTCTCCTCGGGGTCACCTCCAAGGGTCCTTGGGTGCCTGGTACAAGACCAGCCCCTATCCTCGGGTCCGAGTTTGTAGAGAGAGGAATCAAGAGGGACTTAGTCAAAACAGCAAGAGTACCTTGAACGTCGCGCAGCGTATCGTGCAGACCGTCGATCGGATTAAGCTGAGAATTTCCTATATCGAAGCTCACTCTAAGAGCTTTAAAATAAGCCAAGTTGCCTCGCGAAAAGTTCTGCCATTACGAAGTTATGGCTCGGACAGCGTTAGCCTAGCGTTGGAGTGCTAGCGTACTAGCGTTGACTCGGGTAGCATTCCGCCGTCGCACCGCGTAGACAAGAAATTCCAGCAAGGAAGGAATTCGCTTGAATCAATTTCACTATATCCAGGTACAAACAGAGAAGGAATAAATAGTTCTAGCTAGCAAGGACCTTGGGAATGAACCTGAGAACAACCAGGGATCATCCCAAATAATTCCAAGCAACAGAACCAACCTGGCTGGACAAAACAGCAGGTGGTAGGTTGGTAAACAACCTCTGGTTCTGTTTTTCCAACCTGGGAAAACAACAACCAGGTTCAGGTCCTAAAAACAGAACCTGTTTTGTCTTTGCCCAACCAGCCAAATGCTGGTTCCGCTGGTTTCCCCTGGCCCTGTAGCATGCAGATACAGACAAACAACATCCAACCTTCACCTAAATTGTACCCCTATAGTGCCTGCCCTGCTACACTATAGTCAACCAAACAAAACAGTACAATTTCGAGTTGGATAGAACTGAATCTGCGCAATCAAGTAAGTTGAACCGCAAAGCTTCCATCTTGGGTTCCTTTGCGAGCTCGTCCTTTCTGCTTGTACTGTTCATAGCGCGTACAATGTTATGCCGAAGCGCACATTTTGCGAGTACCTGCAAATGCTTCAAGCGAAAATTGCGAAAGCAAACAAACACACAAACATACCATTCACACCCAAATGCATTCGCACACGCATACTCGTACAAACAGACGGCAGGATGTCGTGCAATGTGAATTTGCACCCAACAACCTCTACATACTGGAAAATCCAGACTTCTCCACGGATTGCAGGAATTTAGTGAGGAGGATACTAGAGGTCATAGCCGCCGAGTTGGGGGCAGGAGTCGCACGGGATGTGCTGCAGCAAGGATCCTACTGTCACGGAGTGCACCGCTATGAACAGAACAGCATCATCGAAGGGCAAGCTCAGGAGAAAACTCATCTACACAAAGAGGCTGGCACCGCGCCTCGTGGAAGATCACTTGGAACCACATCATATGCCCGCGCAGGTTCTGAAGCCAGACCACCCAAGCCAGTTTCAGTGCAATGAGCTAGCCATGCCACAGGAAGCCTGGCCCACCTTGGTGGCTTATCACAACGCCCACAGATTGATTTGGGGCGAGGTATTGTCGGGGCCTAGCATGGTCTATGACCACGTGTAGGGAAAGTGGGAGGAGACCACGACGAAAGAGAGGGAGCTGGGATTCCTCCCTAGCACCCAGTGCCGCACCAGGGTTGAGGAGAGATCGCGAAGGGAGGCCGTGGTTAGAGCATGGATGTGGAGTACATGCACTGGCTCATCCATGTCATACATATGCACCTGGCGAGGAAACAGTTGGAGATGGAGGCGGAAGTCGAAGTGGTGGGGGACGATACAGAGGCGACGGTGAGCAGGCGCTACTGGATATCCAACTAGAAAGCAGCAGCAGTGGGAGAGGGGATGGGCCATGATGGCCAGGGAGGTGGACCCTAAAGAGGAGGCAAGGGTGGAAGGAAGCACTGGCCCGGCATCAAGCAGAGAGGCACCACCAGGAACATCACGCAAGGGAGTGCTGGTCAAAGGAGGGTGAAAGCAGGCGGAGGAAGGAGCCGAGCATGTGATGGATGGAGAGATAGACTACAGCACCCTAAACTCATAACTACAGCAACGGGAGCTAGACTACGGGATAGGCACGGTTGTAGGGGCAATCTCAGCGTTCCTTAGTCATATTTGCTCGTGTTCTCTCTACATGCGCATCCACGGGGGAAATTGGCAAGAGTTTCACTAGCAAAAGTTCACAACAATGGTGAAAACAACATGGCAACAAAAACTACGTCAGATGCTAACAGACATGCAGGTCGACTGCCAGCGCAGCACGGTCGACCGCGCTCCACCACTGCATGGTCGACCGCGCTACAGTAGTGCAAAGACGCTGACTGCCAATGTTGCAAGTCGACGGCGTGCCAACGCTGCAGCAAAGCGGTTGCACAGCGTTGCACCCGCAGGACAGCAGCGCACGCGCTTTGCAGGTCCCCGCAGTTTATTGGCGTTCTTTGCCTCGTCATCTGCACAACGCAGACACCAAATCGTCCACTTGCTGTTGACTGCACCTGATCAGCCACGTCGACCTTGAAATACCACCACCGAGGTCGGCTTCGCCAGAACAACCTGGGCGACTGTCGCACTCCTCCGCAGAACCCCGTCGCTCGGGTAACCTGGTTGACCGGGCAACCACGTCGACCCGCTACTTCTCCTCGTGCCCGTCGACCACCCAGTTTGACGACCACCAGCGGTCGTGTCGAGAGTTGAACGGATGAAGAATTGACTAAGGAAAGACAAAGTACAACAAGATATAGTAAACCCTAACAAATAGGAAATGTAAAACCTAGACTAACGTAAACTAAACATATAAATTATATGTTTGACACAACCCCATAGTCTAGGTGACCGTAGTCCTGTGGAAAGCAACAAATCTCAGGGTGGGTCTCAAGGACACACACAGTCGGAGAGCAAGCAAGTGCCGCATCACCAATCAGCAAGAACAAGCAAGGTTCACAAGACCAGTCCACAAGAACACGACAAATCTCAGGGTGGAGCTCAAAGTCACCACACACTCCGAGAGCAAGCAAGAGGCCACAAGGCCAGTCCACATGCAGATATATAGCAAATATAAGAATATGCAAGAGTACAAGACCAGCGGGACAAAGCATCTCTACATAAGCAAGTGAGGACGGGCAGGCACAAGGCTGTCACCGCATATGCACCTAATGCATATGCCATAACAGTAGGTTGAGGGTATAGGCAGGGCTCTAGATTGCAACCATAGGAAGAATAGATGGATATGATAGTATAGAACAGAAATAGGTTGAAGGTGTAGAATGTAGCGAAGTGACTGTTAAGAACGGGTGTAGAAGGGGGGAAACGGGATAAGAGCGGTTGGGATAAAAAGGGGGAAAAGACACCGAAGGGCGAAATGTGAAACCGGTCAATCCCAAACCCGAGCCGCACATTTGGAAATGTGCAGCTTGGGGTTGGGTAAGGGCACTCACGTCCAACCCTTCGATGCTTTCACGATTATTATTCTTTCGAACTAGTGAAAGTCGCTATCTTCGATCTAGCACACTAAGGCACGTCACTAAGAGGGAACCTAAGGGTTGAGGGACCAAGCGCTTTCATAATAATCGCGAAAGGCATCGAAGGCAGAGTACATATGGATAAGTATGAATTGCGTTGGGGTAGGATGTTCAGCCGACGGGAGGAGGAACGGCTGCGATGCGACCCATCACGTGAACGAGTGCGATCCTTGGAGCAATCGCCGCGCCGGCCGGCCTTCCGCGCCGATCAAATCCCTCTCGCACGGGACCGTCGAGAAGAAGGATCGACGAGCGTGGGAGCAGGCGACGCCGAGCACGTCGGGGGCGCGGATAGAGACGCGTGGCTACGAGAGAGAGAGAGAGAGAGAGAGAGAGAGAGAGAGAGAGAGAGAGAGAGAGAGAGAGAGAGAGAGAGAGAGAGAGAGAGAGAGAGAGAGCGCGGAACTGGCGAGGATCGTGGAAACCGCCGCGACGCAGGAGTGTTCCGCTCTCCGGACAATCGAGAACGTCGTCGGGATGAGAGAGGTCGTTGGCGAGGTTTTGGGGAACTTCCCTGGGGACGAGGAGGAGACATAGGCGGCGATGACCGAGTGGGGATCCCGCAAGAGAACGCGGCACTGGAAGTGGCAGGGGGGCAATGTGCGGAAGAAGATGAGGAGAACCAAGGGCTGCAGGTTGAGGAGGGCGGTGAAGGAAATGACGGCGACGACCAGGCAGCAGGAGCGGGTGAGGCTGAACCCGCGCAGGCTAATGAGAGCGCTGGCGCAAGCCAGGCGGCAGACGTAGAATCGGGGGCCGCGCTGCAGGAATCGTACCGCCGAGGCATCAGCCGTGGAGAAGAGCAGCGCGCGGAGGGCTCACTTCGCCAGGAGCGAGTGACACCAGACGAGGGCGTTCAAGATGCACTGGTGCAGCCACATGGCAAGGGGAAGGCGGAGCGGTCTCGCACGCAGGAGAAGGATCCGCACCATGGAGAATGGCGCGTAGGCGACCTCTGCCCGTATGATAGGCGACAGGAGCAGAGCGGCTAGAGCGGCAGCGGTGTGCGTTCGCCAGGACAACAGCGTACGCGCGGTGGCAGATGGAACGATTAGTCGCGCTCACCTGAGCCGCACGGGCGCCAGGAAGGAAGGCACGGGGAGGAGCGGTGGTCAAAGGAGCGCTGCGGTCAGCAGCAAGGGAAGCGCAGCAGCGTGGGGCGTTCGCCGGGTCGGCCGAGGCAGAGAGAGGAGAGGGATAGCAGCGAGTCCCGCTCGCCCGAGTGGCGCCGCCAGCGGAGGGAGAAATACGGAAGGGAAAGGCACTCGCCCGAGTGCCACCAACAGCGCAGCAGGAGGGAAGGCATCTGGTCACAGTCGCCGGAGAGGCGGCAGCAGCGCAACACCAGAAGGTGGGAAGGGCGGAGGATGCACGACCCACCCACACAGCAATGCGGACGTGCGGAAGAATAGGGAGGGCCGAGGGAAAGGCGCCGCGAGGCGGAAGGGATTCGCCAAGAGAGGGTCTGCAAAGGGCAAGGGAGAGAGGAGCGGAGAAACGTCGGCCAAGAGGAGCCAGTGAAGCATGGGGAGAGGGGCGAGGGGGTGCTGCCAGCACCCCGCGAGTGGAAGTGCCCGCCCGATTCTCGGGAGATCAGCGCGCGGGGCCTACCCTCAAGAATTACCTGATGCAGGTGGGGAATGTGCGGTACCGCTACGATAGGCACGATATGGACCCGGTGGACTTTTTCTTGAGCTTACCGAACACATTGGAGGGAGAGGCCGAGACGCTGTACCGCATGAGGATGGAGGAACTGCTCTGGATGGCAGGGAGGTACGGAGAAAACCCCACCGAGGCATATCTGGAGCGGCTGCAGCGGCAATTCCCACGGCACATGGCGGAGCGCGTAAGGGAATTCCAGGAATTCAGGAGGGGCCGGGCGGAGTCACTGCTGACCTACTACAACAGATTGATTAACGTGGCGGAAGACGTGAGATGCACGGACAACAGCATTCTCATCAGCAAGTTCCTAGGAGGCCTAGACGAGGCTCTGGGGGGGGGGCTGAGGATGAGAGTGTATGAGCTGGGCGCGGAAGCAGGCCTAGAGGAGGTGTTTGATCTGGCAGAGAGGGTGGAGCTCGCGCAGAGGAAGTACGAGGCTTATCTGCCTAGGCCGACCGAGAGAAGCAGGAGGCCAACGTGGGCAGCGGCGATGATACCAGAGGGGGGAGGGATAGTAGATGGGCGAGGGGAGACAGGAATTGACACCAGAACCTGTCACAGGTGTGGGCAGCCAGAACATCTACGCAGAGACTGCAAGAATTGTGACGGTTGTGGGAAGCCAGGGCATAGGAAGCGGGAATGCCCAGATGCAGCCAGGTGTGAGATTTGCAAGAAACGAGGGCATGAGGCAAAGGACTGCTACCAGAGAGAGGGAGGGCCTAAGAGGCACCCAGAGGAGCTCTAGCGGCAGATCAGCAGGCTGCAAGCGCAGCTGAGGGCAACCGGGCTGAGAGGGGAGGCTGAGGCAGGGATGTATGCCAGAGACGAGGAGGGGGAGGAGGTGGAGCAAGATGTGCAGTGTGCACTCATGGCATGGAGAGGAAGAGAAGAAATGGGGCTGAGGAGCGGAGGGAAGGATGGCAGGCAGGAGCAGGGAAGGAAGGAACAAGCGAGGGGAGAGAATCTAGCTGAGCCGGCCCAGGAACGAGCCCCAGCACGCCATCCCCAAGAAAGACTGGCGCGCCAGACCTCAGTGCTGCTGCTAAAAGGGGGAGCAATGGAAGTGGAGGGAGAGAAGGTGAAGACTGCAATCATAGACACAGGAGCACATAGTGTGATGCTGGGGAAGGGGATGGCTGAGAGGCTGGGGTTGCTGGCGCCAGAGAGGCATGTGGCAAAGGGGATGCTGGTGATGACGGCGGAAGGGGGGGAACCAAAGTGGATGCCGTGCACCCAAACGCCCATAGAAGTGACGCTGCTGCCAGGGGGGGGGAACACGAAACCAAAATCCGCATGAAGTGTGGGATTTCAGAGTCGGAGGACTTTGATGTATTGGTGGGCACCGAGCTAGTGTTCGCGGTGGGGATGACCATATGCACTTGGACTGAGAAGGTCGAGTTTCGAAAACGGTACTGGAAGAAGGAGAGGCCTTTGGGCGAGTTGCCGGTGCAATTTGTGAAGGTGGAGCCCAAGAGAGCATACCAGGCCGTGGGTGAACAGCTGCCGGGGAAGCAGCAAGCAGAGGAGCAGGGAGGGACAACAGGGTCATCAGAGGGACCCAGGATGAAGTGGATGGACGAGCCAAGGCGGTAGAGTGATTGGCAGCAGCCCATCTACCTGGTGGAGCTGTTTGGAGGGATAAGAGCAAAGGCTGTCAGTTGTGGTGAGGAGTGGAATAGCAGTGAGGAAGTGGACTTATGTGGAGAAGGAGCCGAAAGTGAGGAGAATGGCGGAACACCATGCGTGGCAGCTGCAAGCGGAGTTCCCAGAACTCTTGAGTGGGAAGGTGATTCAAGAAGCCATGGGTGGGAGCATCCATGACGTGCAGGAGATAGGAGAGGCAGAGGTGGCGAGCTGGGGGCAGGTGGATCTGCTGGTGGCAGGGTGGGAATGCCAAGGAGTGTCTTGAGCAGGCAAAGGGAGGGGAGGAGAGGATCATAGGACAAGGTTGATGGAAGACCTGTTCCGCATTATGGAGAAGTTGCAGGAGAGGCAGGGCAGGGTGGCATACTTGCTAGAAAACCTGGATCTAGAAGGAGACAGCAGGGAGCCGATCCGATTAGTGAGAGAAAGAATCAAGGGGCAGCTGGGGGAAGGGCTGAGCTGTAATGCGGCCAGAACCGGGTCCTACGCACACCGGCTCAGGATGTATTGGCAGAATGTGGTCCCTGCCGTGAACTTGCAAGAAGAGATGAATGGGGTGCAGCGAGCAACGGAACGGAAGGTGCAGGACATTCTAGCTCCAGGGCGGACCCCAGCACCGGTGTGTCGCAAGAGCTACCACATGCACTATCCTTGCAACCAAGTAGGGCAGGAGAGACGAGCCCTGCCCATCCTGGTGGCGTATGCGGGAGCGGCAGGGTACAAGTGGGAAGCAGGGCAGCCGGGGCCGGGCATGGTGTATGATAACAGGAGACGCAGATAGGAGGAACCCATGGCACTAGAGCGGGAGCTGGCAATGGGGTATAGGGAGAATGCAACAGCAGCCCCAGGGGTGAGTGAGGCGGACAGAAGGAGGGCTTTGGGGAATGCAATGGATGGCCACGCGCTGAGGTGGCTGATCCAGCGGATGTGGCGAGAGACGGTCGTGAGCTGGGGGCACGAGGAAGGGAAGGGAGAAGCAGAGGCAGTGCCTCGGGGAGCGTGGAGCTGCCAAAAGGAGGAGGAAAAATGGGAGGTGGGAGAGGCGATGAGAAAGGAGGGGAAAGAGGCCATGCAGGAGCTGTTGGCCAGGCACAGGAAGTGCTTTGCCTTCACCATGCAAGAACTAGGGAGATGCAAGGTGAAGGAGATGGAGCTGAAGCTGAGCAGCTCGGAACCAGTGTTTCACCGCAGGAGGAAGATGCCACACGTGGATGAGGAAATCTGTAAAGATAAGATCAAGGAGCTGCTGGAAGCGGGACTAATTAGGAGGTCAAAATCAGAGTATGCCACACCAACAGTGGTAGCTGCCAGGCGGGACCTGACAGGGGAGGTGCTGAGCTGGAGGATGTGTGGGGACTACAGGGCACTCAACAAGATCACCATAGCGGACAGGTACCCAATGCCAATGGCGGAAGAAATCTTTGACAAGCTAGCAGAGGGAGTGCTCTTTAGGACACTGAACCTGAGGCAAGGGTTCAACCAGATCAAGACCAGAGAGGAGGACATCAAGAAAACGACCTTTCATGGGCCGGACGGGCTCTATGAGTGGCTGTACATGCCATTTGGGTTGAGGAACGCCTCCGCCGTGTTCCAGAGGGTCATGGACAGTGTGCTGCGGGGAATGGAATGTGCGGCCTGCTACATTGATGATGTGGTGATCTTCAGCACAACAGAGCAGCAGCACCTGCAGGATGTGGAGAGGACACTGGCAGCAATAGATGCGGCGGGACTCACCTGCCACCCGAAGAAGTGCAGATGGGGGGAACAGACAGTGCAATACCTGGGTTACGAGGTGAAGGGGGGAAAAAAGGGATACAACAAGCCAAGGTAGAGGTCCTGGATAGGCTGAGGGAGCCTAAGGACAAGTCAGGACTGAGAGCGGTGCTGGGCTTCTTGAGCTACTATAGGCGGTTTGTGCCCAACTTCAGTAAGAGAGCGGCGGTACTAAATGGACTACTGCGGGAAGACAAGGCGTGGGAGTGGGGAGAAGCACAGAAGGGGGCACTGCAGGACTTAATGACAGCAGTAAAGACAGCAACAGTGCTCAAGCTGCCCGCCGCCGATCACCCGTTCACGCACTACATTGACTGGAGCAGCCAAGGGATGGGAGGGATACTCTGCCAGGAGGTGGAAGGAGAGGAGAAGGTGGTGGCATATGCGAGTAGGAGCTGTAACACAGCGGAGGCACAGTACAGCTCCTACATAGGGGAAGGATTGGCAGCTGTATAGGCTGTGGGGCACTTCAGGGTGTACCTGCAGGGGAGAGAGTTCACCTTGGTGACGGATCACCAGCCCCTGCCGTGGCTGATGACAACACTGGGGTTGACGGGCAGGAATGCACGGTGGGCAATGAAGCTGTAGGAGTATGACTTCAAAATCAAGCACAGGCCGGGAAAGACATTGCAGCATGTGGACGGTCTCTCTCGGAACTACCCACTGCCAGAGCTCACTGTGACCCTGACACTGCCGGCAAGGCTGGTGGAGATGAATGGGGCCAAGGGACAGAAGGGGCCAGTGTTGGTGTAAGGGCCTAATAAACTCAAGCTATTAAGACTTTATCACACTTAAAACCTCTCCTCGGGGTCACCTCCAAGGGTCCTTGGGTGCCTGGTACAAGACCAGCCCCTATCCTCGGGTCCGAGTTTGTAGAGAGAGGGATCAAGAGGGACTTAGTCAAAACAGCAAGAGTACCTTGAGCGTCGCGCAGCGTATCGTGCAGACCGTCGACCGGATTAAGCTGAGAATTTGCTATATCGAAGCTCACTCTAAGAGCTTTAAAATAAGCCAAGTTGCCTCGCGAAAAGTTCTGCCATTACGAAGTTATGGCTCGGACAGCGTTAGCCTAGCGTTGGAGTGCTAGCATACTAGCGTTGACTCGGGTAGCATTCCGCCGTCGCATCGCGTAGAAAACGAAATTCCAGCAAGGAAGGAATTCGCTTGAATCAATTTCACTATATCCAGGTACAAACAGAGAAGGAATAAATAGTTCTAGCTAGCAAGGACCTTGGGAATGAACCTGAGAACAACCAGGGATCATCCCAAATAATTCCAAGCAACAGAACCAACCTGGCTGGACAAAACAGCAGGTGGTAGGTTGGTAAACAACCTCTGGTTCTGTTTTTCCAACCTGGGAAAACAACAACCAGGTTCAGGTCCTAAAAACAGAACCTGTTTTGTCTTTGCCCAACCAGCCAAATGCTGGTTCCGCTGGTTTCCCCTGGCCCTGTAGCATGCAGATACAGACAAACAACATCCAACCTTCACCTAAATTGTACCCCTATAGTGCCTGCCCTGCTACACTATAGTCAACCAAACAAAACAGTACAATTTCGAGTTGGATAGAACTGAATCTGCGCAATCAAGTAAGTTGAACCGCAAAGCTTCCATCTTGGGTTCCTTTGCGAGCTCGTCCTTTCTGCTTCTACTGTTCATAGCGCGTACAATGTTATGCCGAAGCGCACATTGTGCGAGTACCTGCAAATGCTTCAAGCGA